TTGTTAGAAGCATGCATTCTGTCCTTAGAGGAAAACAAAAGCAGACTATCCTCCCTATCAATTGGTTGCGATCACGACCCGAATTTGACTTCGTTTCACATTTTCTTCACAGTCACGGTATATTTTGAGCAGCAGGACCCTCTAAGCCTAACCACCGTCATCGAGTGTTTTGTTGTTCGAAACTGTGCTTTAGCTTACTCAGCACGCAACCACATCTACCTCTTGGAAGCATGTAAGCAAGTACACCTTTAGGAAGGGCTAACATGTGACCCTCTTCTTCGTCTATAGATGATTCCAACATAGCTGCATGGGTCCAAGTGCCATCACAATCCGACAATGTCGTCTTCACCAACCATATAGAATTGAGATAAAGAAAAGTAAGTTACTTCGTTATTTTTTTTGTATAAGTACAATAAACGCAGTTACTTGCTTTCGAAGTTCGTCAAACTGCAAGTTAGAAGACATACATCAAAAAACGTGAGAGAGACAGGAAACAAGTTTAATATAATGTCATGCATCCAGCTATGCTTCGGTTCTATTCTACTCAGATATGGGCGTACGAAAGAGGATGTATATACGATTATTTTTCCGCAAGTAAACAAATGTTTTAACCTCATGCTCAACATTGCAGCCCAGATTTGTGTAAGCAACGATAGCTTGCCAGTGTTTTCCATGCCTCTTTTCAACACCATCTTTTAGTAATTTAGCCATGTCCTTCTCCTCTTTAACCTTGTCTTCATTGAATTTTACAATTTTCATCACATCTTTCAACAATTCCTCATTTACCGGCTCTTCATGGAGAATTTCGAAACTGTCCCGGAGACTGTCATTACTGATACTGTCACTGCCACTGGACCTGACGCTGGACGTATCGTTGTACTTCGTCCCGCTAGATCGAGGTTCGCTGGCTTCCATTGGTGCAATCACCTCTTTGATACTTGCATTTTGAGAGTTTCTGTCAGATAGGGACTTTCGATTGTCTACTGATTCATCGCGTGAGACATTTGTTACTCTGCCAATCTTTACCCCACTAGAACTTGACGAGGTAGTGGAGCCTTGTCGTCGACTCATTGGTTCCTTCACACCGTTCGACTTGCTACC